GATACTGACAAACTGAAAACGGCATGGGCTACCACCTTCGAGAACGTCCAGATACTTCGATCTCGTTTCATTTCCACGAACGATGGCTACATTCAGGGTGTCATCCGAAATCAGACTCTTCCATGGACCGAGGTACTTGCCGCGAGCGAGGAAGCCATGGAACAAGAGCTCTCGAGCTCCTACCATCAATGGTGGAGTCAGAACCACACATCTTTTGAGCGACCGTTCGAACTGGTGCTTGTACGATCACCAGAGCGGATTTCCCTGTCTCTTCACATGTTCCATGGACTTTATGATGGCAATAGCTTGCCACTTTTGTTGGACGCTGTCGCGCAGGCATATCATGATCGCATTACTGTCGATTACGGTCCAACGTTCCACGAAGTACTTCCCTACGGACCCCTGGCTACTCTACCGGACGCCCGAGAGTTCTGGACACCTCTCCTAGCGCAAAGTCCGAGAGGACGTATGCCTTCGCTTATTCCCACGGCAAATCCGGAGCCTGTCTCCGTTGCTCGCAAGATTTCCGCTCCCAACTTCGAGAGCACTCGTCGGAAATTGAATGCTACCCCACAAGCAGTCGTACAGTCATGTTGGGCTGCTGTGATGCAACGCTTATTTTCCGGGGCAGCTTCCTTCGGTTTGGTGGTCTCAGGGCGGTCATTTGACATTGATGGCGTCGAGAAAGTCATCGGCCCCCTTTTCAACACCATCCCCTTCCATCTCGGGCTCCGTAAGGACGACTCGTGGATGAACATCGTGCAAAGATGCCAGGAGTTCATTGGGAAAGTGTTGGCATATCAACACACTCCACTCAGAGATATCATGAAATGGACCAACAGCACCACCGAAGTCCCTCTTTTTGACACTCTTTTCGTCTTCCAGAGGCAGGGAGAGGACATTGCCGACTCTGGAACGAACGAACTGTGGCAAATCGAAGATTCTCCCCCTCAGCTAGACTATCCGCTAGCTCTGGAGGTGGAAGACTTGACAAAGGGCGATTTCAACCTTACTCTTGTTGCTCAGGGACACATTGCTGATGATACTGTTGCGAACGCTCTTCTTCAAGATTTTGAAGATGCGCTTCATGCTCTTCTCAGAGATCCGGAATCTCTTATTTCTGACACTGTGGGCGAGATCAAGGAACACTCTCATTCTAACGACCCACAAGCTTTGAAAGACCATTCATTCAAAACGAATGGCACAAATGATACTCAGTGGTCGGGCAGTGCCCTGAAAATTCGAGAGGAAATTGCGGCTCTCGTGCACGCCGACCCCCAAGAAATCCACCAGCATGTCTCGATTCTCGAGCTTGGATTGGATAGCATTGACGCAATCAAACTTTCCTCTCGCCTGGCCACAACCGGGCTTCGAATCCCTGTCAGTCAGATCATGCAGTGTCTCACTATCGCAAAAATGGCCCTGGTTGTCGAGGAAGCAGGGACAGATTCCAAAGCTTCAACCAAGGTGGATCTCAAGAGCGAGGAGTCCAATCTAAAGTCTTTCTTTCGCTCCACGGGGCGTGATCTATCTGATGTTGAATCGGTTTACCCCACCACTCCGTTGCAAGAAGCCATGGTTGCAGAGATGGTCAATTCATCATTCGGTCGTTACTTCAACCAGGATGTCCTCAAACTTGGGAAGAACACTGACCTTGAAAGACTGAAGCAAGCCTGGGAGGTTGTGCAAAGGAGCTCTCCAGTCCTCCGAACTACTTTTGTTGAAGTTGCGGACGCTTCGATTTCCTATTCTTTTGCTCAGCTTGTCATGAAGCGCGGCCCCCTGCAATGGACAAATCATGCATGTTCGACCAAGGAGGACCTCGAAGGATTGATCAACAAGAGGAGACATTTGGCAGCGGATGCGCACCTCCAAATCCCGCCGTTTTACCTCGATGTTGTCAACTGTGGTGGTGATCGCTTCCTGATACTATCCATGGCTCATGCTCTTTACGATGGCTGGTCTATCGGTTTGCTTCACGAGGATGTCCAGGATGCCTACCATAACTCTCTGCAGCAAAGACCACTCTACGATGAGATCCTTCAAGATGTACTTGGCAGCTCAACCGTTGATGCTATCGAATTCTGGAGAGACTCTTTATCGGGCGCACAAAGCACAATATTCCCCAATGTTGATCAAAAGCTACAATCGCAGGAGACACTCGTTTACCGGAAGGAGAAAACTTCCTCATGTGACGGAGTCGAAATCAAGTCCTTCTGCAAATCTCAGGGAATCACTCTTCAAGCTTTGGGCCAAGCCTGTTGGAGCGCTGTACTTGCCTCGTACACCAGTCAGCTCGAGGTCATCTTTGGAGTTGTTCTCTCAGGCCGAGACAGTGAAGATGCTAATGAAATTCTGTTTCCGACGATGAACACCGTCGCAGTCCGATCCTTCTTGCACGGCTCCAGGAGCGAGATGCTACAGTATACCCAAGACAGCATTGCTGGAATTCGGCAGTATCAACATTTCCCACTTCGCAAAGCCCAGGCTTTCGCAGACACTCGTGGACAGGCTTTATTCAATACGCTTTTCATTTACCAGGCTAAGCCGAGCGTTATCGCTGATGATAAACAGCAGCTCTACGAGTCTGTAGGTGGGACTTCTGAGGTCGAGTATCCTGTTTGCGTGGAAATGGAGCTCGTTGAAGACGCGCTGGTCTGGCGAGCGGCTTGTAGCAATACCGTGCTGTCAGCATCAGGAACCAGCACACTGCTTGAGAAGCTCGATTCTGTTCTTACGACAATCGTGGAGTCCCCAGATAACGACATGATCCAATTTCAACAAGAAGGGATTTCCTTGGCCGGCTTGCCGCCATTTGAAGACAATGGAGCCGCAACAGGTGAATCGACCGACAGCGATACTCTCGTCGATTCGGAATCAGAAGCAGACGCGTGGACCGAAACGGAAGAGACCATCCGAGAGGTTCTTTCTTCAGTCGCGAAAATGAACGAAGATGAGATCGCTAGGACCTCGACCCTTTTCCATCTTGGTCTGGATTCGATCAGCGCCATCAAAGTCGCTGCGCTTTTGCGCAAACGTGGGATCAATTTCGGTGTCAGCGAGATGCTTCGAGCCGCTACTGTCCAGAAGATGGCACAAGTTGTCGAAGCGAAACATGCCGTGGAAGGAGATTCGATCGCAACCCAACCAGATCAGTCATCAAGCTGGTCGCACGATATTGATATCGATCATGTACTCTCGGAATCTCGCATAGACAAGTCAGATGTGGAGCAAATCGCTCCAGCCTGCGCTGGACAAGTACACATGCTTTCAGTGTGGGAGAATTCAAACGGCAACTTATTCTATCCCACTTTCAAGTTCCGGGTCAATGGAACTACCGACATCGATCTCGTTCATTCAGCTTGGGATTGCCTGGTCAGCAACAATCCAATACTGCGAACCGTATTTGCAACCACGCAGTCTGAGGAATATCCGATCCTTCAGTTGATAACGAAGAAGTCTTGCAGAAACTTCTACCATCTTGATCGCCAAGTCGGTGCTACCGAAGAAGTTGGAGTGAATCAGCCATTTGCTTGCCTCGGCGTCAGAGCTGAGAATTTTTCTCTTTGTTTGGAGCTGAAGATTCATCACGCCTTGTACGATGGCGTTAGTCTTCCCCTCTTGACAGGCCAGCTTCAAGACGAGTGCAACAAAATACAGAGGAGTGATCCGGCCCATTCTGCTTTCGTCGAACTCCTGACAGCCACATCCACAAGCGGACTACGGAAGAAACGGGAGGACTTCTGGACCGACTATCTCAGTGGTACCAAAAAGCAGTGCCTTGCTCAGCAGTCGAACCATTGTGGTCGGAGGTCGGAAGTTTTCCGTCCTGGTGCTGTTCCTGAGATTCGAAATTACGAGACTGCAGCCAAAAGACTCGGATTGAGCGTGCACTCAATCTTCCTAGCTGTCTATGCTCGTGTATATGCCACTCTTGCTTCCAACACATCCACATCGGATGACAGCCCCGACGTCGTCTTCGGCATATACCTCGCCAACCGCTCTCACGCCATCGATAAACTTGTCAAAGCTCCAGTCCCAACAGTCAACCTGGTTCCACTTCGAGTTACTTCACCTCGCACACGTAGCCTCTCGACTTCCGCACAGCAAATACAAGCAGATCTGCTGAATATCGGTTCGCTAGAAAACTCGTCCGTCAGCCTCTGGGAGATTGAGAAGTGCACTGGCATCAAGCTTGATTCGTTTGTCAACTTCTTGAATCTGCCAGACCACAGCGAGGAGAACGAACGCGAGAACGAAGACGTTGTCGCCATCCGAGACGCGAATGAGATAAGGTTGAAGCCGCGGAGTAGCTTGGTCGATGTCAGCACAAAGTCGACAGTTCCGAAGGAGCTCGAAGGAAATTGTGTGAAGGGCTCTTACCTGGTGAGCGCCACTCTTCTTTTGATATGTTCCTTGACATATGCTAATGCCCAGCAGCAATCGTTAGACATTGAAGCTACGGTTCGAGACGGAGTTTTGGATGTCGGCGTTTTCTCTCCCGTGGAGATGCTGGGGATTGAAGCTGCGGAGGAGCTTATTGGAGACCTACAGAAGGAAATGAAAGCGTTTCTTGAAGAGAGTACGTAGCTTGGAACATGTCAAGTAAGAGTTCTTGGTTTCTTGTTTTGATATCACTTGTAGTTTTTCTTTGTGTCAGAAGAAGTGGTCAAAATTATGATCGTTAGAGCGCCTGTCTGGAGCGTATACATAGAATTCCTTTTGTTTAGCTTCGTCGAATTACGTAGTTGGTAACTTAATGATCGTACTCGTTACTAGTAGCTACACCACCTGCATCTTTGATTGTGTGTTGTCGCTGCACTGATCCCTAATAACGGCGCTCCAAAAATTGATGTTCCCGCCTCCCCCGCGGTCTAGCCTCGCCATTTTTGAGTACTTGGTCTCCCAACCGCGACGTCTTCTCCCACTCTGTCCAAAGATATGATCATCGCAAAGCTTTGGGGCGTACAAGAAGTGAAAAATGGTCGAACGAGCAAAAATGGACAGGTAGGGGATCGAACCCTAGACCTCCCGCATGCAAAGCGGGCGCTCTACCACTGAGCTACATGCCCGACAAGAATAATCAAAAATTGAAAATAATTGGGCTATAAAGCTAATAATACGTTCTCCCCAAACATAGACACTAGCCACGCTCGTTGTCGTTATGTAATCCCACCGCGGCCACTCAGCGACGCGACTCTGCACGTCTTCAGCAGGCGCCCATGGAGAGGTCTCTACAACAACATGTCGCGGCGGCCGGTAGCAGCTTGGAAGTGGGGAGCCCTCGTAGCCGGAGTGGTCTTTGTGAGCTCTGCATCCGCCTCCATCGGTGACCGCCTGCCCGAATTCAAGGAATGCGTCAAGGTACTGTGAAGCTTCCACCAAAAAGAAAGGGGGGTTATCCAGTCTAATCCTCTCGCAAACAGGTCTGCATACAATCGAATTGCGCCTCGAGCACCCCTCCCTCCATCCGTAAGCCCTTACAAACTGTCTTGTTACCCCAAGCAAACTGACCACCCCTCTAGCCCTCCAACGCCGCCTCCTCCTCTGGGACTGCCCCTCCGAATGCGACTACACCTGCCAACACCTCACCACTGAGGAGCGCCTCTCGCGCGATCCACCCTATCTCCACCCGATCGTCCAGTTCCACGGCAAATGGCCGTTCTACCGCTTCCTCGGCATGCAGGAGCCCTTCTCCGTCATCTTCTCACTGCTAAACTACCTCGCGCATTCGTGGGGGATGGCTAAGTTGCGCGAGATGGTCCCTGCGAGCTACCCGCTGCGCAAGTATTACATGGGTTTTGGCTACTTTGGGCTTGCCAGCTGGATCTTTAGTATGATTTTCCATACACGGGATTTCAGGGTGACGGAGAAGCTGGACTACTTTGCGGCGGGGGCGAGCGTGTTGTATGGGATGTACTATGCGGCAGTGAGGATATTCAGGCTGGATGAACGCACGCCGAGGAAGAGGAGTGTTTTAAGAGCTTGGACGGTTATGTGTGCGCTGCTCTATACTGCCCATGTTATGTACCTGACTCTGTGGAGTTGGGACTACACGTATAACATGGCGGCAAACGTGGCCTGTGGCATTGTGCAGAATATCATGTGGAGCTGGTTCAGCGTCATGCGGTATAAGAAGCTGCAAAGGACATGGGCTGCGTGGCCGGGTCTCATTGTCGCTTGGTTGATCATGGCTATGAGTCTGGAGTTGTTGGACTTTCCACCTTGGGGTGGGATGATAGATGCTCACAGCCTTTGGCATCTTGGGACGGTTGTGCCCACCATTTGGTGGTACAAGTGAGTGTTTCCTGCCATGTGATTTGGAAGAACTACTAATTAAACCCTAGTTTCCTGATCAAAGATGCTCAGCAAGACATTCAAGGGACAAGGCTCAAAGCATAGTCGAGGCATCGGGCTAGGCACTGGAGAGAACAATACGTAAACATAATACAGAAGAAATTATTGAATCGAGAACGACAAATATGACATATCTGTTTGACTATTCTCAGGGGTTCCAACTGTCTATCGCGCAGATGGACCGTGCCGATTGGTATCTTATCAGGAGGTTCTACCTTTGAACCGTCCGTTGGAAACTTGGACGCCTGGGAAGCACCGACGACAAGCCGTCTAGCGGATTTTGCCAGTGTTTTGGACGTCCGGGCACTCCAATATACTAGGAATCCAATGTTAAACCCTTCGACTTGCACAGCTAATGCCTCCTTATTTGTACAGCAGTGACGAAGGATTGAGCGGCAAATATTAGATTTTCAGGCCTTGCTGTTGGCTCTATTGAACTTTTATGCGCTTCGCTGTCCTTATTTCAAGACCAGCAGAAACAGATTCTTCATTGATTGGGGGTATCTTCAGTTATTATCTATGCGACGCTTTTCGGACATGGCCATTGCAAGCATCCCGCTTCCAGCGACCACAGGCCCGCTCTATTCGTCCATCCCCCACTGGTACTGGAGGTTCTTGATGTTCTTCCTGTTGTTCCTCGCCTCAAACCAGTCCTTCTCAAAGCCGGTGCCACGATCCACACCATCCCACTGCCATCCAGGCCGAATGCCGTACCGATTGGGCGCAAACGATCCCTGATATAGCTTTCGACCCGTTTTGCTCTTTGTCGTCGATTTTTTCGTCATGAACCGTGCAGCCGGATCGTTCCAGACCTCCCTTTGCTTGAGCTCCTCGTTCATCTCCACGTCATCCGCACGACGCGTCAAAGGCATATATTGTGCATCTTGCAGCTTCTGACGACGCTCTTCCGCCTCTGCTCGTTGCACGTCTCCCATAGCCGCGAGTTCCTGCTCCTTCTTCTTCTTGGCTTCCTGTTCTTCTTTCTTGCGCTTTTCTGCCCTCTTTATCCCAATGTCTATTCGTCGCCCGCTAGCATCACGATAGACTGTCTCGCCTTCCCCGCTCTCTCGCATGGCTTCCTCGAATTGCTTGCGTTCCGTTGCGCGCTTCTTGGCCATGGCTGCGGTGACTTGTTCGGCGGTCTGGAGGCCGGCGTGGGCACCTGATTCCATCTTGAGGCCGGTGTCGCCGAGTGTAGGGGCTTCATCGTCTTCTTCGGCGAGCTTGCTGCGTTCGTTGGCGGCGGCTTCGAGGATGGCATCTGCGGCTGTTTGTTCGGCAGAGGAGGGGGCTGGAGCTCCAATGGTCTTCCAAAGACCCGGTTTGCTGGCGTGCTGGGTCGAGGATTGAGAGCCGACTGCGAGAAAGGTAAGCGGAGTTGGACATGTGCGGTGCGAAGACTGGAGAGCTGTACCTATCGTAGGACCGTCATCATCATCGTTGTCGTCGGCGTCTTTCTCATCCCAACCAAGGATATTGTCGTCTGCTATAACCAGGCCAGTAGACTCTGTTCCGTCCCTCTTCCGCTTCTTGCTCTTCTTCTTGATGGGTTTGTCAGGATTGAGGTATTTCTTTGTGAGATAATTCTGGAGTGACATGGCTTCGGGATTTTTGCGACCAGAATGAGAGCTCGTTTGCGGTGGGAGGGTGTGTGAGAGACTCTGCGCTGACGGCTCTGGTGGTTGGTGTTCAAGGTTCTGGGAAGGCAATGCCAAGAGAACCGTTGGATAGGGCTGAAGCATTCTGCTTCCGCTCCGCTGCACGCGTGCACGTGTTCGCAGCATCGACATCATCCTGATTCTCCGTTTTATCCCTTGCTCAACCGTTTGGCTTGTATTTTTTCCGACCGTTTGTCTTTCTCACTTTTATTCTCACAGCCTCCATAAATTGCATCCTATTTTCCCATCTTCCTCTACCGAAGCTTTAGATTTTAACTCCCCATTTACAAAAGAACGGACAAGCTTTACCATCATGTCAGACATCAACCTCCAGGAGATCCATGACTTTCTGGTGGAAATAGCCAAAAAGGCTGGCGAGATGATCACAGCTGCTCATCCAACAATTGGAGCTACAGGGAACAAGAAGAATTGTGAGTTGGTCTTTCTATCATTAATTCCGGTCCCTTTGAATGCGGTCGGCAAAGGGAAGCCATAACGGCTTGGGATCGCGTCTAAAGAGATATCTTTTTCATGTCGAGATGATGCTGGAGGAGCCTGGCTGACTCTACAACCTCCATAGCTGTCGACCTTGTAACCGAGACCGATCAAGCGGTGGAGAAACTCATATCGACCGAGTTGCAATCAAAATACCCGTCATTTTCTTTCATGGGAGAAGAAACATACAAGCCAGGAGATACCCTCACGGATGCTCCAACCTTTATCGTCGAGTATGTCCCGAGTATGGTCTCCTTTTCGTTACTAACTTGTCCTCCAGCCCAATCGACGGCACCACAAATTTTGTGCATTCAAACCCCTATGTCAGCAGCTCCCTTGGCGTCGCCATCAACAAAAAGCCCGTCATAGGCGTCATCTACAACCCCTTCACCCAAATTCTCTACTCTGCGATCAAGGGTAAGGGTGCCTACATGAACTTGACCGAAAAGCTCCCCTTTCGGCAGCCGGAGAGCCTTGCCGATGGCCTTAGCAAGGCTCAAGTCGCTGTCGAATGGGGATCTGATCGCTCCGGCAACGATCTCGCCGTCAAGAGCCAGACGTTCCTCAAGCTTACGTCGAGCAAGGAAGAAGGAGGCGCCATGGTGCATTCCCTCCGCTCGTACGGCGGCGCGGCGCTGAACCTCTGTGGCGTGGCTGCAGGCCATCTGGATGCGTATTGGGAAGCGGGATGTTGGGCTTGGGACGTCTGTGCTGGCTGGGTTGTCCTGAGTGAAGCAGGCGGTATCATGGTGGATGCGAACCCAGGGAACTGGGATCCGAGGATTGAAGAGAGGAGGTATCTGGCTGTGAGAGGCGGAGAAGGACAGAAGGAGTTTGTGGAAGAGTTTTGGGGTTATGTGCAGGGGAAGTTTGAAGTTGGGGTGTAGAGCTCAATTTGTGCACTGATAGTCTGGAACGGAACGAAGACAGGAGACATACGATCTCGTTGACGGGAGATGAATACCTTACTAAAGGGCCTGAGGAACACAAGAAAAGGCGCAGGATAGCGATCTCCTTCACACGGTGAAGCGAAATGGATCCGAGTTAAATATCAAAACCTGCAACCTTGGGAATCAACGACCTCGAGTACCGTATGTGATCAAGGAGTTGCAACTCATCTCCTTGTTTGCCACAATACTTGAGTGACAATCTCTGGTTCCAACTTTGGTGATGATTAGGTTGCGGAGTTCGAAGGAGTTCACAAGACGGCAATGGGAATTATGTCAATGCTAAGAATAGAAACAGTCATCCCTGTTGCGTCATCGAGTCGAGTTTCCACAGCTCCACCTCCAACTCCTTGCATTCAATTTCTCCCCAACAACCGACCTCCCCTCTCTTACTATAATTTGAGAAGACAGTGAAATCTGACTACAATTCCCCCTTTCCCAAAGTTCTAAACCGCCTACGAGTTTTCTTGGACCTTCTAAACCCCATTCAAACTCCTTCAGTTCCCCTCATCCTTCGCCGACGAATACTTGCAGGACCATACATTCACCATGGAGCCAGCCGTAGCAGGTGCACTATACGCCGCCGAATCCCTCTTGGAAGGAGCTTTTGCGTTTGGCAAAGGAATCCTATATCCCACTCTCCCCTTGAAAGCAACCTTCTCGCGCATCAAAGGCGCCCGATTCCCGCGCGCAGGTCACACCATATCTATCGTCAAGGGCCGAGCGTATATATTCGGCGGAGAGACATCTGTCGACACTATTGCGAGTAATGACATGAGCATAGTGTATTTGTACCTCGTGGACAATTGCCCTTCTGCGACTGACAAATCATAGGATTCTCCCCTCCTCTGCAGTATCAGAAGCAGACTATACTGTCATCCCCGCACGCCCTCGCGAGAGCAATGGTCCTGTTCCTCAAAGTCGCAAACACCACTCTGCTGTAGTAGTAGGAGATTCGATCTACATACTAGGCGGCCAACTTCCTCCAAAAAGCGCAGAAGAAGAGAAAGGAAGAATCTGGGTATTCGACACGGTCACCAAGCGTTGGTCGTATATTGATCCAGCATCACCACCTCCACCCGCACGTTCACACCATTCTGCTTCATCATCTGAGCTGCCCGGACCAAAGGAGGCGCCACGACCCTCCAGAGATATCCTTCCGCAGCAACCCCCAGAGCCTGGAAGCGATGTTCCAGAACCTCCTCAGGCCGATTCTTGGGGCACCATGTTCATATACGGAGGAAAACACGTAGTCGAAGGGAAGCTCTTGAACGATGCCTGGACTTTTGATTTCCGCACAAGAACATGGCACAGCCTACCGGACCCACCCGAACCAGGTAGAACAGATGCGAGCCTGGCCGCTGCCGGCTCTAGACTCTACCGCTTTGGAGGCTACGATGGCAATAGGTGTCTAGGAGGGAGTATCGACTGGCTTGATGTCGGGAATATGCTATCAGGATCACGCGACACAGCTTTAGGAGAGCTGGAGGCCTCCTCGTTGGGCGATTGGGAAGAGCACGCCTTTGAAAAGGAGAAGGGGCCAAGTCCAAGAGCCGGCGCTGGCCTTGTAGACGTCACCACTGGCCAAGGACGGGGATATCTTCTTCTCGTCGGCGGAGAGAGTGTACCCTCTACAGAATCGGGCACAGGCGTCCTGTTCGACGATGCTTGGGCTTTTCAACTACCTCCGGCTGCTACTTCGGCTGCGAGCGCAAAAGATCAAACACGGACGCTGATCAAAAAGGACACCAAGGAAGCCGTTTGGGCTGAAGTCCAGTATCAGTACCCCAACGGCGATGGGGATGCCGTGAAGGACCATCCCTCCGGCAAGATTGGTGCACAGGGATCTGGAAGTCGGTCAAAGTTTGCGGTCGCCAAAGGCACAGAGGTGGATGGAGCTACTGTCGTACTTTGGGGCGGATCGGATGAGAACCGCAATATTCTGGATGATGGGTGGATGATCACGGTTGATCGGTGAGATTTGCGACGGAGGTCTCCCAAATATTTATGGAGACAGTATGTCGATTCAGAGAAATAATGTTGAATTGGGTCGTGTGGAAGAACGCAAATGCAGATCAAAGCGCCTACTACATGCTTACTGGCTATGAAATGGCAGAAGAACTTTTGGTAAGATGCCATCGAGGAAAGCCAAAATGCACTCCAATTACCTGCTAGGCCGAGATACTTGCTCGAGCACAGCATCCTTACCCCAGTTGGTCATCTTGAAGCGCGAAATGAAGTCGTCACGACTGACTGCAGGATTGTCAGATGGCCGAACAGTATAGAGCTTTGCTAGAGAGCACTTACTATAGCCACCGCATAGACGTCGCTTTCCCGTGAACTTGGATCTCCCGTGGAGGACTCGCCAATTGTCGAAGACTGCAATGATTAGGTTGAATCCTTCAGATGCACGGAGAACAACAACATACTCATCGGCTGACCCGGCTTGAGCTGCTCCCAGTATTCCCTGCGCTTGAGCATTCTGACCCATTTCCTGGAAGGGAGCACGTTAGTTTGCAAGTTACCCCCAGACGCGGATCCAACGAAGCAACACAACCTACCTTGCAGCATCATACCACTTGTTCACAACCTCAACTGGCATGTCAATCTGCGCCCGATCGGTCGTGTTCCATCTGATCTGGGACAAATTGCCCAACCGGTCGTGGACGAGGACAGGGCTAGGCTGGTACGGCTGTATGCTCATTCCCTCGGTGCCGCTAGCATGGGAGTAGGTTAGGACCGTGCTGAGGATTTGGTATGCTTCGGGGTCCTCCTTCATGAGGTCGGTGGCGGCGGCGAAACCGTCGACGAGGAGGGACTCGCCGCCACTGCCGTTCTCATGAGATAGCAAGTGGAACATCTGCAGACCGCAGGGGTCGGTGAAGTAGGTCGTGTCGGTGTGGGCACCGATGGCGAGATCGGTGTATGCGGTATCGCCGAAGGAGAGATCAGAAGTAAAATCCCAGAAGCCGCCTGAAGAAGAGTCAATCGGATACAATGGGTGGCTTGGCTAGGACGTCTTGCTTACCGTAGTGAGTGGGTCTTATGAATGCAATTCGCTCAAGTAGTGCTTTCGTTGCCTCTGGCGTGGGAGGAGTGTTGTTCACATAGCAGAAGCCCCAGCGACGCTGTTTTGCGTCAGTACAAATGGCGCTCTTCCGATTCCATAGCAATAGACTCACAATCAATTCGGTCCATTTGCCAACACCTCTGTCGGAGGCCATGACCTGGTCATACTCAACCTCGGGCTTCTTGCCCCATTCTCGGAGTTGCCATCCGCTAAAGAAGGACAGGCTGTTGCTTTTTAGTTTACTCTGCCCATTTATCTTGGAGACTACACGTACTTGATCAAGCCTTGACGGTCCAGGGGCATCTGTCTGGGTATCGTTGCGGCCAGCCAATCGTTGCCATAGTAGCTCTTATGGCCGTCATCCCCTGTTCCAATGTCAGCTCGAAGTAATACCATTGATGCAGCTCTCAGAGTACTAACATTTTATCTCTACGCCGTTGCCCTCGCGCGTCATTTCTTGCACTTGCGGTCTTGGCTTCTAGCAATATTGATGAGTTGAAATAGTGCAACGGGTTTGAGATGATTCATACATCGAATATTTCAAGAACGCGCTGTTTGGTCACGGGATGAATGCATTCCGCACATTGACAATGGTCACTTGAAATGCGGATCAGTACGATTTTCAGCCTGTTAGCATCGGCCAAGATCATACCGTAGAAACTCAAGAGACCTTGGGCGAACGTTAGCCCAGCGCATATTAAAACCATCCTGAACTAGTTACTTACACAGATTGGTTCCCTTTGCGGCATGCTTCGTTTCTATACATTTTCCCTTCGTGTATAACTGGGCTAGGATGGTTGACGCCACCGTGCCTCGCTGCTCTCACATCATCGGCTCGGTGGATGATTTTGAAAGTGGGAGGGTTCACTGCTTTCTTAGATTCCTTTGCTAGTAGACGCCACTCGTCCACTTGACCCATTGTTTCCTCGAGTCTGCTTTTCAGCTCGGTGAGGGACGAAGCGAGGTTGCTATACTCTTCTTGTTCAGGCGTGCTCATAGTGAGACCAAACTATGATTGTTTCGTTAATGTTGCGGGCTCCAGTATGTTGTCTTGATCAACACCATAGACACGACAAACAAAAATGATGAAAAATCCTTCTTACCGGAGACTCTGATGTTCGGGCATTTGTAGGAACAGACTCCGACTTGGTGCGTGGTTCGACAGCAACAGCTTTCACCCACGGCGTCTTGGTGGACCGCCGAGCAGATGCCAGCCGAATAGTTGCGGCCTTCAAGGACTGTCGAGCAGATCCCACCTGCTCAGCTTTGGATTTCAGGGACACCCGAGGCAGACGTTGACTCTTTGGTTGAACAGGCACCGCCGTGGAGGGTTGAACAGCTGCCGCCACGGATGGCCGAGCAGACGCCGCCACGGATGGCCGAGCAGACGCCGCCACGGATGATCGAACAGACTCTGCCTTGGAGGGCTGAACAGACGCCGCCTTGGACGCTCGAGGTCGAGCAGCTGCTTCCCTAGCTTGTTGAAACTGGGGAGGGTCGATATAACGAAAAGGCGTTCCGGATTCTCCAGGGGAAGAAGAATTGGTAGGACGAGAACTCGCAGACCTCCGTTGACCTGCAATGATGGCATTGGGCCATAAGGTGTTGCTATCATAAGCAGAGTGGTCAGTCACAAGTTTCAAGCGACAGGATAGATATGCTGCGCTTCGGGTCGTAGCATGAGACTTACTGCGGACGAATTCCAGCACATCTCAAGTGCATGCTAGCCATGCTGGAAACAGAGAAAGAAACCAGAATCAATAGCAAAGTGAGGTCAAATCTGCCTGCGACGGAGGAAGAGCAAGCAGTAGAAACAAAAGAAGAAGAAGAAATGAAGGAGCTCGGACTGGGGAAAGTTTTGTGTGGGGAGATTTCGATGGTCTCGTGATTGCTCGAGTCCCTGTTGCCGAGAGAGGTTGCAGATGCGGTTGCGGAGCTCTAAATGGCAAAACAAAAAAGGAATGCCAGGGCCAACAAAGCAGCGCCAAGTCCAAGCTGAGTTATAGCAGTGTAAGAATAAAAACAAAAGACAAATCGACACCGATGGGACTCGAACCCACAATCTTTGCCAGGATCCTATAACCGGAAAGCAACGCCTTACCATTAGGCCACGGTGCCCGAAGACATAATTTGAATAACGTCAATATAATTTGGTTATATTTAGCGTTTATTACTGGACTGCACTGCAGCTGTGTGGTGGCTCAGCTCGAGCTTTGATTGGCCTAGAAGCAGATATCCGTTGTCGGCCAACGTGCAACATCGCCGGACGCCATCTAAACAATTTTTCTTTCGCCGACTTCGACTATGCTACAAGGAATCTACGACGAGAGTAAGCCTAGGAAGAAGTAGCAACTACTACGTAAAAAGGTATCTTCGTGGCGCCATAGAAGAAACGCTGAATACTACCTACGTAGGGACCCGCCCGCTAGGTGTCAAACACTGCCGTCCCGCACTTTGATATCAAAAGACAAATTGTATCGATTGCTATCTAGTTTTACACCTGCTACTAAGACTTTTCGCACGAATGCAAGGCTGTCCAGAGATGCTTGCTCCACCACATGAGAACGGTAACCCATAATACCACCCATATTACGCCGGCCCAGCGCCATCGCTTCCATGCATCAAGCCCATAGAGAGAAGAAAGGAAATGGGCCTAGCGGCCAAAGTTGGAATTGTTCTCATGAGAAAATCGTGCAGCTCGGGCGGCAGGAGCCGAGTACAGTGGGAGGTCGCGTCGGTGGCGGTCGTTGCGCTGCCGGTCATTCCTTTCGCGCTCCTCATACAGATCCCTCTGCTTCGAGTCTGCGTACGCAGGCGGAGGCTGGTTGTAGTGGCCAGTCTTTTGGGATCCGCGCGTCTGCTGGAAGTTGTCATCTCGGCCTCCGTATCCGTCCTTGGTGCGAAGGTCGTTTCCATTGCCCTCATCAATCTCCATCACACTAGAATTGCGGCGGTAGGGGTTGCGTGGACCGCTTGGGGGAGCAGCTTGCGCCTGGGGAGGCTGATCGCGCATGTAGACGTAGAGGAGACGACCGTCAGCCTTGGAGTTGTTAGTAATGGTACTGGGAGTATGTGCTGAGCGGTGGCAGTGAATGAAAGGCGAACTTACAAGCCGGCCATTGAATGTGGCAATGACATTTTCTGCGCTCGCTTTGTCCTGGAAAACCATCTCAGCAATCACAGTAGGGTATGTAGCTTGCAAGCGGCAACTGAGCACACCACCTCCATACGGGCGAACGGAGTCTTCAATGTCGGCAGCTGTGGTACCAGGCGCGAAGTTGCTGCCAATAACGGTGTGTGTAGTCGCCTGGCTCGTTCCGCGAATGCTCATGTTGGAGCGGTCAGCGTTGCGATTGCGTGGGCCGCCGAATTGAGGCTCGGAGGCAACACGGGACAGTTGGCCAGGCCCGCGGATATGATGGCGGACTCGTGGGGTTTGCGCCTTGGGGCCGGTGGGAGTCTGCGATGATGGTTTCATCACCCGGCCATTGTTGACACGACTGGCGAGAGTGGGGAGTGTGGGCCTGGAGTTGCGACCGGTAAGGACAGAAGCTGGAGCACTCTTGCGCCTGCCGGAGCCGAGAATTGTGTTTGCGAGGTGTTCGCTCTTTTTGCGCTTGCGTGCTGTGAGATACCTGTTAGCTCTGTCACCTCAGCGCGCAGGGCGCAGTACGCGACTGTCAAGGGTCCGACATACCTTCCTGAAGCATGGAGTCGAGCGACGGCGGCTCCTTTTCTCTTGCCATGTTGTTGGAAGCGGCGATGTTGACGTGTGTTTGCGACGGTGACGACGTGTGGGTGGGTGAGAGAGTTGAAGTTGCCCGAGCCAGCGGAAAACGCGAGGGACGCGACCGTCGAGACGATCTCTTGGCAAGGCACTATCGTTGGTGCCTGAGGCCACCGCTCCGCCGTTTCTCCCCCGTTTCTCTCCGCCCTCTACGTGGTCTCCGCCGAGTCCGCTCCGCCCAAGTATCCTCGAACAATACTCCGTCACATCCATCCGTGCAACCCTCGAGAATTACTTAATACAACCAGTCAACCATCACAATAGTCTTCTCCCGTACAGGCTGTGTAGTCTTGAGACAAGTGCATTTTTCCAGTCTTGGGTTTTCGAGCTCCGGCCAGATGCCAATCAAACTAAAGAATCGACACGTCCAAGGCAACGACCCAATTCCCAGACGCGGCTGGGGAGCACTATTGTAGCTTGTCCAGTGTCTAGCCGACCGGTTGGACGACGGAAAAGAATGGCTCCATCTTCAGACGTAGCTGGAGACAACGCAGTAGGTCTTCGAGCTGTTTTTCGATTTGTCGAGATCACAAGGATGCGGCTTACTTCCAAACGCAACTGGGGAGCACTATAGTAGCTCGTCCGGTACTTCTTTGATAGATTGAACGTCTGACTATCAATTCAGCGTAAACAAGATATCGTATTTTGAGGACTGTACGGCGCTAAGTGTCTTTATCCAGACGTAGCTTGAGAGGACTGTGGTAGTTTCTCAAGCTCTTTGTAGACAAGTTACGATACCTATCTACTAAAGGATATGCAGCTTGATATTCAGGCATGACCGGGGAACATGAGAGTGCCTTGCCGGCGTATTACCCCGCGAAAAATAGACCGACTAGAAGCTAAGTGTGTTATTTTCCAGCCTAGAAACACACCTCATCCAGACACGATTGGGGGCGACTTTAATAAGTCGACTGGTCAGACACTACGATAAGTCAAGCGTGTGCGGCGCATTGTGTTTTCTGGTCTTGAACGCATGTCCAAGCATACGACTCGATATCCAGACACAGATGGGGAGTGCAGTGATGTCTCGAGGACTCATTTGACATGCTGAACGCTTAGAAGAGATTCACCGAGAGTGAGGTATTGTGCTTTCGGACCTTGTGTGACTGTTCATGCATACGCCTCCGCACCAAAATGCAGCCGAGAAATTCTATCATGGCCTTACAGGTACTCAACTGGCACAATATACACGGGAGAAAGCATCGATCGGAGGCGAGGCTTCATACAATTGAGCTTAAAAGACATTTTTCTAGCATGGCTGATTCACCTTTCAATTCTCTCTCTAACTGCGTTCCTCAACACGAGCAAGACAGAACCGGTGGTGAGTGCCGACCCGCAGCCCCGACCTATGTATACACGAACGCGTCGTAGTTGACCGAGCTGCCCGTCTTGGCATAGAACAAGCAAGAATTGAAATAGCTGTCAGTGGCTGGCAGAATGTATCTGTACAGGCCAGCTGTGACAAAGGTGCCCCGCGGGACGCGTCCATTCCCGTCAATACCACAAGTCGCAACACAAGTGTAGTAGAGGTTACAATCCACACAAGTGTTCAGAGCCGCCTGAAGCTGCACCACACGGAATCCCATTGTAGGATCGATGCTGGAGACTGCAATGCTGCCGTTATAGCCGTTGGCGGTAGTGCACCCCAAGAAGGCTCCCCTGAGGCTTCCTTGCAACACACAAATACCATCCTGGCCGCCGAGACTGTCCTGATATCTTTTTCCCTGGTAGTTCGCGAGACCTGGAGCGGTATCGGCAAAGGGAAGGTCATCAAACTTTTCATTGAGCAGCGAGGTTAGCTTCAAGTTGCGATGGAGACAAGAAGATGTGGTACTTACAGTCGCGGTATACGCGGCCGCGGTTGGGCAGGCTGTGGGAGTTGTAGTCTCGGTAACAGTGGTGGTAACCGTGTCGGTGCCGAGGGGAGGAAGTAAGTTCAGAGGGACTGTTAGCTTTTGAGATCGAACCCTATGCCAGGAGTGTCTTACAGTTTGCACCAAGGCAGTTGTCGTCGTCTGCGTGATGGTAACCAAAGCTGTGATCGTGGATTTCGGGGGCGATGTGACCTGAAAACCTGAGTATTGCAGAAATGATATGACCTGGAGGGAGGACACCTACAGTGATGGTGCTCGTGGCAGAAGCAGTGCGAGTAGAGGTCTTGTTGGTTGTAGGGATCGCGCTGATGAGGCACGAGCACGCACTGGTGATGGAATTGGCAGGGTAAGGGTCGCCGCGTTTGGCTTTCTTTGCGGGGACCATTGTGGTAGTGGTGGTAACAGTCCTGAAAAGACATCATTAACAGCAACGAATAGAACAGGTGTATAGAGCATGACTTACACAGTGGTTGTTGGATTAGGAGCAATGACGCCCAGTGAGACAAGACCAGTAACTGTGGTCAGGCTGAATTGGAATGTCAGCCGCAAGTTTGGGGCCCGATCCCAATATTGCTTACTCAGTCTTTGTGATTGTCGTGTACACATTCGGCAACGTGGTCGTCGTAGAGATCAACTTTCTGCTCGTAGAAGTGACCGTTGTGTACTTGGTAGATCGGACATAAGCTTGTTACGACAGTCAGCAAGCAACAGGAGAGTCGTGAGAATCTTCTTACTGGAGCACCACGCTGAGCCTTTAGTTTTACTGGCCCAAGTAAAACAGTTGTCCTTCTTGCACGTGGCAGCTCGGGCATCAAGCTGGTGCGGTACAAAAGCTATGGATCCAGTGACAGCAACAAACAAAAGAACGAGTATATGGGGGAGCATATTGACCATCTTGGCTAGTATGTTTACACTCTGGATGATACTTAACTTAGGTTGGAAAACAAGTTGAAATGTCATGGCCGCGCATAATTCTTATACTTCCTCCCGGCTCGCTTCAAAGATTTGGCAAAGAGATGGAAAATGCGAAATTATCCACCCAGGACATGATGATCCAGCAACATATGCTGCTGTAGCGAATGGTCTCGCGACTAGACGCTCTTGAGGATTCGTTGTGAACTCGGACAGCCTCTCCAGCGAGCAGCGCCTGCAAGCCAGGCGGCCTTTGCTACAGAATAGATGTACTAGCAGACAAGTGACAGAGCCAACTGAATTGAACTCTAATCAATGCCACGGAACCAGGCGGACAGACGCACATGGGTAGGAGCTTTCGCGTGTAGTGAGTTAGACATTGCACATGCCCCCAAGTCGCATCATGAGATCGAGAAGAGTTGGTTAGTCGGCCAACACCGGGTGCGTTCTCTCTGAGCAGTATATCTACTTTCCGAGGAAGCTGGTAGTGGGGATTGGTCCTATTCATGTTTGAGTTCGAAATTCGGTCAAAGCTTCTGCGGATG